AGTTCCTTGTGCTCGTAGAGTTCTGCGCGAGCTGCCTTCGCTACCTCCTGACTGTTGGCGGCCTCGACCGCAGCAGAGTGCGTAGTCTTTTGCAGGGCAGCCATCAACACCCGGTGAACCTAGAAAAAGCGAGTGGACAGAATGCAATCGAGCTGAACGGGATAATATAAACAGGTTCCACTTTTCAGTAAGGAGGGGGACTTGCAAGTTTTAAATACAGCTTGGCGTGGCCGATTGCATTCCCTTTTTACCTTCTGTGTTTATCTATGGGGTATCTGTCAGGCAAGCTATGTCATCTACAGTCAGAATATATTTAAACTGTGAAAAACCTGGTTACTTAACTTAAACACAGGTTGAAATGATGTCGCCTTGGTCCCATACAGCATCACCCCCAGGAGACTCACCTCGCAACAATCACCTAAAAAGTCATTTGTGCCACATTCCTGGACAAAATATAGCCCATCTGAACGGGACGCTATGAATGCACTCGGCTATTCAAACGTAAAATACATTTTGTCATGGTCTATCACGTTCTCTTTCCCTATTTGGTCTTTGGGACAACTGCCAGGCAAGCATATGGTTCGTGTGAATTCTAAATACCAGACCGGGTCGTAACACATGCTAAATTTTTAGGATGGCACCAAGCAGGGAAGAATAAAGACGTTCGGCATTCACAGTAAGAGAACTACATAACTCCTTGTAATGGCACGGCTGTGATTACATCTAATTTAGCCGTCGTCGATGATGCTACGAGTTGTACCTCTCCGAGCAATAGCCTACCTGGATATCTCGATCTAATTCCTCCTTCGATGACCGAAACGAAAAAAGGTCCAAAAACAACCAGTGTTGAGTGAAGTTTGCGGGCTGAGATCTATACTGCCTTCAATAAAGTGGTAGCATCACTGAAAATGGAGCGGGCCAAAAAAGTGTGCAACCAACCTCAACCACCTTTGTTGAACGCTGAATTTACTTAACCACTCGATAGATGATTAATTTTAGGTGAAGAGCGTTATTTTGAAGTGATTTGTGGTCTTCTGAATGTCAGAGTAAGCAAATTTAGGTCGCCATATAGCTTGCGCTGTGAAATAAAACATGCTAGTGTCCAGAGGCTGTGATATTTTTACCGGGATTTTTAGACTGTGTTTTCAAAGGTAAAAACTAAGCACGGATAAAATCGTACCACAATGTCCGCGTATCGCCGAATGGGTGAGGTAAAATGGGTGTAGAGGTTCAAAGCCAGACCATAGTGACCAAACTGGTCCCGAGTGAGGTCCTCAGCGCCACTGGAGAAGTAGAGAGCATTGGTCATCGCACGTGTAGCCAGTTGCCTCAGTATTTTGTTGACCTGTAGTCAGAACAAACGCATAAATTAAAATAAAGTATCGCTACTTAAATATTTTCAGTAGGGCGTTAAATGAATATGGAAACTAGCCTCGGGGTCATTGGTGTCATTACAGGCCTCCAGCGAAGCTGCCAACGCACGGTTAGAGTCCACCGACATGCTAAAGCCCTTTGAGGAGGCACAGCGTTTAAGCTCCTCGAAGAATTCTGATCTAGGCGCGGGGTGACGACGCAGACAAGAACACTCCGGGAAGGCGTCCAGACAGTAGCGGGCAATCCAGTGGTTGGCGAAGATCATTAGCTCTGCGACAGTCGAATGCATCTCCAACGGCTAATAACGGAGGAATACAAGGAGGAAGGGCATTTTATGAAGGCTACGATAACGGGATGACTAAAATAACGTAGAGCTGGCAAGGAAAACAAAAAGAACGATAAAAAACAAACAGGACGTACCGCCTTTGGAATAATATCTTGCAAACTGCCGGTTCTCGTCTCCGGATTGGCAAACTGAATGCTAACTTCGACACTCTCCAGCTCGAGACCACC